AAATTACAAATACACCCATAAAGTTTGTTTAAAATATGAATCGGTTCTATAATACTAGAAATTACAATTAGCGTTTGTTATAAATTTTCATTTAACGCAATACTCGGGGGAAAAAAAAATCAATCCTCCTATACAATAATAAATTATCAAAATTATTTATTGAAAAATATTTCTCATATCATTAAAAACTATTAATTAACTTAATGATTTATTTATTAACAAAATGATTAACTGAAAAATATTTTTAATATCATTAAAAATTGTTAATTTACTTAATGATTTATTTATTAAAAAAATTGGTTATTTGTTATGCGAGTATGATTTATGTATTAATAAAATTAGTTATTTGTATATATATGTGTTTTCTTTTGCTTTTTTATTAGTTTAGTGAATTGAATTATCTTAGTAGTTTTTTTAGATGGAAGAATTATCTTAATATTTATTTTATATTTATCTGTTGAGAAAAGTTACATACCATAATTTTTATTTTTATTTTTATAAATTTAGAAGAAATGTTAAAGACTTATAAATTCTCCCAAAATGATATGGTAATATAATTGGAGTCTACATCATTGGGTGTATAACAAATCAAAAAATGATACATATCATACCACAAAATTCTATTATATATCTAATGATTTATTTTATTCAATTTCATAAAATAATATGTTAATTTTTTAAAATTATCAAAATATAAAACTTAAATATACTATAATAATAACCCGTGCCTTGCATAGGTTTTCATAAACTAATATGTATATATATATATATATATATATATATAAATATTTCTTAAACAAGTAGACGCAAAAGTTTCCAGTATGGGTTTTCAAAAACTAATATGTATATATATATATATATAAATATTTCTTAAACAAGTAGACGCAAAAGTTTCCAGTTATTTCAACTCATCCCTTCATTAGAGGTATTCTTGCTTATTAACTGGTCGATAAATTGTCTTCATTGATTTCAGACAATAATTTTTTTTTTTTCAAAGGTCAATCAAATGAATGAAAAATTGGGAAAATGGTTAAAAGTTTGGTTTTTTTTTGAATTTTCTGAATTTTTTAACTTTTTTTTTTATGAGAGAAGAAATAGGTTAAAATGTGAGAAGTGTCTTTTAATCTATTTTCTAAAATAGTCCAAAAGTTAAATAGTAAGAAGATAATTATTCAGGTTGGGAATTTCTCTAGATTTAGATTAAGATTAAAATTAGTAGAGAAGTGTCACGACGCCAAACCGCCCCTAGTAGGATGGTGTCATGATGGCCGGTAATCCGAGATTACCAAGGCCTCTTACGAGGATTCACACACACAGAGTATAAATAAGGGGCTTACAAATGCGGAAGCAGTAAATTAAAATCCAAGTGGTCCATAAGAGCTGTGCATAGATCAAATGGAATGACATACATAATGTGATTTTACAATCGGTTGCTTAATAAAACAAAATACATGTTACATCTTCATCAAAAGGCTTCTCAAGTCGACGTATGCAAAATACAAGTATTACAGGTCGAGAAGCATAATCTTCAAGATTGCCGACATGAATACAAGTTAAGCCGACATAACATGAATCCAAAACAAGCTTGTAAAAACACATCTAGGCGTCGCCGCCGTCCTGCTCGTCACCTATATATATATAGAGAGGGTGAGCTTGGATACTCAGTGAATGGTACAAGTAATAAAGGATTTGTATGAATAATAGCCGAAGTCTTTCAAACAAAACATATCAAACTTTACAAATCAGGGGATGAACCACGTTCATCTAACAAATCTTCAAGCTCCAAATGATGCTTACTAGCATCAACATGTTACAAAATGATGACATACCGAACAACAAACCCACGCGGTAAACCGTCAGTGGCAAAACAAGGGAATAATCGACCCGGAATCGATTAAACGGACCCACCCGCACAAGGCCATCGGTGGCAAAGGAGATATCTCAAGCAAGAGTGCTACAAAGAGTTTCGAGTCCTCTAGCACAAAAGGACCTATGTTACAAAGGCTTGAAGTCCTCTAACACGAAAAGGACTTGTACTGCGAAAGTTTAGAGTCCTCCAGCACAAGGGACTTGTACTGCGAAAGTTTAGAGTCCTCCAGCACAAAGGACTTGTACTGCGAAAGTTTAGAGTCCTCCAGCACAAGGGACTTTCCAAGAATGTCATTCAAAACAAAGCTTATACTTGATACACAAAATAGGGATAATCATTCATGCTTGATCAAATACTTTTCAAAACAAAGCAAGGCTTTATCAAAACTTTATAACATAGCTTTATTAAAAATACCACTCACATAGTTTTTCAAACGTCGGGGTCAAGGCGAAAGTCCAAGTCCTATAAACACATGGCAAAGTCTATGGGACGCACTTTCAAACAAGTTTCACATGCAAACGGATGATCTCGGCACGGATGAATCTTGGCATTCTTCAAAACTAAGTTAAATCAAAACAAAACACTGTTTCTCATCTCGGAAAAACAAGCTGGGCACCAACCAGGTCTTGGCCGAGGTCCCACACCTTCTCGCCAAGGTGTGGTGACGGCCACAGTCAAAAGCGAAGTCGGGAAAATCTGGGTTTCCCTTTGAAGAACATGAAGAACATGAAGATGGAGAAGATGAAGAACATGCATGCTTAAATCATAACTTGTTATACAAAGTCTGAGATTTCATGCTATGAGTTCGAAAACATGGACCTGGGTACCCATACTTGAAGATCTTGTGAAAACAAACACAAAAATATGGTTCTTGATGCAAACTTTCGGATCAAAACAAGACTTTTCTTCAAGAACACATGAACACTATCTTCTCTTACTAAAACCAACTTTAAATCAATGCAAGGCATGCAGAACAGGTTCGATCATGCAATGCAGCTGGATGATCAATAAGAACAACAAGAGTAGATTAAGATTCTAACCTCAAAACTCGAATCTAACGGTTCAAACTCCAACGATCAAGCTTGGAAGTCCACTCTCTCACTCAAAAGCTTCTCCTTCTTCTTCCTAGAGCCTCTCTCTCTAAAAGACAAGATTTGATACGAAAATGATATGTTTTCTTGACAGTCACTGACTTAACCCTCTGCTGGGACACGTGGCATCGGCTGATTGGCTCTGTCCAAAAAGGTGACTGACTTGACAAGATAAGACTATGACAAAGTGTGCTCAGCTAGCTTAGACGGTAAGAGCACTCCGGCAAGTGGTGATCTCGGCTAAGGACAAAGCTTCGGCAAGTAGGCAACAATGACATCGGCTTGGAAGGTCAACACTTGACTAAGTTGTGTCACACCTTGGCCTAGATGTGCCACACCTCGGTCTAGGTCATATCAATCTAGGAACAAAATCACTTAGGTGCAAGGACAACATCTCGGCCTAGATAACACACATCTCGGCCTTGGTGCTGCACACCTCGGCCTAGATAGTGACATCTCGGCCAATATGCCAGGGCGAAGATGGAGATCAACCAAAATGATTCCAAGATAATTCCAAGTGTAAAAAGGGGTCCAAAGTTGACTAGGCTAAGGATGACCTCGGCAACACACTAGGCAAGAACAAAGTATGCAAGCAACACTCAAGCAAAGCAAGGCAAGATTTGCAAATGCAATGGGACAAGATAAGGTTATACATAAATGTATGCAAGTATGACTAAGTTGGAGTGAGGGTTGTTACAAGAAGAGTTTCACTTATTGGCTGTTTAATTTTTAGTGACTTTTTTAAAAATTATGTCAAAATTTTTTTTGGTTTATCTTTTTTAAAAGTACTTTTTTTTTTTGTTGAAAATATATAAATTATATAGTGAGGTGAATGAGATTTAAATCCGATACCTAAAGTCTAATAAATAAGACTATTATCATTTAAACAACATATATATTCTAAAGATTTAATTGTTAAATCAAAATCAAAATATATATTTTTTATATTTAATAACAATATATAATAAATATTTTTTGGACAATTAATAATTTTGAACACTAGTCAATTTTTTAAAGTTTTAATTTAGTTATTATGTTTAAATTGGAGCTTAAAATTCATAATTTTGGAATTCTTATCAATTTTCTAATATATATACATGTAAAAAAAAAATTAGATGAAAATATGAAATTAACTAGACTTGTGTTCAAATTAAAATTGGAATAATGACTTGGATCCCTTTTTTTTCCCACCCCTTTGACCCCCTCTTCACATGATTGGCTACTTTTTCTTTCTTTTTTTTTTCCCTTTTCCTCCAATCACCACCTGCCACGTGTCTGTAAAGAGGGTAGTGATTGGAGGGGGTCTTAATCATCACCCTTAAAATTGTGAGAGATTAAGGGGTTGTTTGGGATATCCTAAATAAGTACACTTTTTATCTTTTTAGACTAAAAAGTTGAGGAAAAAAAGATGGATATTTGGGTTAACTTTTTGACTTTTTACGAAAAAATGTGTATTAAAAAATTGTATAAATTAGTGTAGGAAAAGTTTTGACAGCGTAGGCTGTACGGTGACAACAAGGTTTGTAGAGTGGTGTAATAGGAAATGGTTGCCTCCTTTTCGAGCAACCATTTGGATGGTGCTCTTTAACCAGTGGGGGCCACCACGAGTCTCGTTTTTCTTATCGGAACCGTTCAATGTGTACAACTTGTCGAGTATTATATATTTGTAAAAAATCACGTTGATCGGATATCTATAGTTATTTGATCGGATTAGTTTTTTTGTCAATCGTTAACTATAACATCATTCATTTTTTATACAAAACTGATTTGATCACATAGTTAGCGTTATCCGATCAATATGATTTTTTACAGGCATATAGTACTGGACGAGTTCTACACATAAGTTGGTTTGTATTAAAATATTATGTATATTAATTTTTTCATATTTTTAATTTGTGAATAGTGATGAATTTTATTTTTATTATAACTTTTTGACTTTTTAAATTTTTTCTAACATCCCAAACTAGGCTTAAGTCAAATTATTAAAAATGGTCGGGCTATAATAAACGAGTTTCTGCCCATGAATCCGACCCGGATTGTTATTAGGGTTTCTCAGCTTCGAGCTTTTTGAACCGCTGTTATCATCTTCTCTCCTCTCTCCCCTGCATTCTCTTCAACTATGCGATTGCAGAACATTCATCAATTCAAGAACAGAACGAACAATTGAAGAATCTTTATATGTATACACACACATACATATATAAATTTGTATGTTAGCAGTGATGCTGTGGCGTGTTGGTTGTGTATCATTCTTTTCAAAAGCCCCAATTCTCTTAGTCTACCCCAGAAATCGATTTCTTCATCATTCACATCATTCTTTGAAACCCATTTATGTTAGTGTTCGTTGTGTCAATCGTTTCTCTATGAGCAAATTGACCCATCTCTGCACCTCTGCAGCTCTAATTCGCCAACCCACTTCATCAAATGCACCGATTTCGAACAGGTCAAGGAAGAGAGCTCGCCGCGAGAGCCCCGAAGGATTGCTTCGGCACAAGCTTGACACGTGTTCGCAGCAAGGCGACCTCGTTGAAGCCCTTCGTTTATACGATAATGCTCGGACCAGTGGAGTTTCTTTATCGCAACACCATTACAATTCGTTGTTGTATTTGTGTTCTTGTTGTGGAGATGGGAATGGGAATGGGAATGGGAATGGGAATGGGGGGTTTTCGAAGGATGTAGTGAATTTGGGTTTAGAGAGGGGTTTTGAGATTTTTAAGCAAATGGGTATTGACAAAATTGCTCCAAATGAGGCGACTTTTACGAATTTGGCGAGGTTGGCGGTGGTGAAGGAGGACCCGGAAATGGCTTTTGATTTGGTGAAGAAGATGAAGAGTTGTGGTATTCCACCCAAGTTGAGGTCTTACGGTCCGGCATTGTTTGGGTTTTGCAGGAAAGGGATGGCTAATGAGGCTTATGAGGTTGATGCTCACATGGTTGAATCCGGGGTTTTGGCTGAAGAGTCCGAGCTTTCGGCTCTTTTGAATGTCAGTGCTGAAACTAAGAGGCCTGATAGAGTTTATGAAATGTTGCACCGGTTGCGTGCCACGGTGAGGCAGGTCACGGAAGAGACTGCTGGGGTTGTGGAGGATTGGTTTGAGTCTGAAAGGGCTGCAGAGGTTGGGGAGGTGAATTGGGATGTGGGTAAGGTGAGGGAAGAGGTTGTGAAGGGAGGAGGGGGGTGGCATGGACAAGGGTGGCTCGGAAATGGGAATTGGAGAGTTACGAGGACGCAAATGGATGAAATGGGTGTGTGCCAATCGTGTGGAGAGAAGCTTGTTAGCATTGATATTGATCCTAAAGAGACTGAAAACTTCACTACTTCATTGACCAATTTGGCATGCCAAAGAGAGGTTAAGGCTGATTTTATGCAGTTTCAGGTATGACACTATCTTTATGCTTCATTGATTAATACCGCAATTCAGCACATGGAGTTACTTGAGATGTATATTATTTTGGAATTGATTCCTATAGTTGATTCTTACACATTAGTGGACAATGCTGAAGCTTGGGTAACCAGCTTGAGGAATGATAGAATATCACCCCCTATTTATAGATTAAGATTAGGGTTTACAAGAAATGCAATTACAAGATGATCCCTGAGTGCTATCCCTGAGTGCATAAAATGATTACAGACAGACCCTAGTGTATCTTTCGGCTACCTTTCGGCTAATATAATATCACTTAATATGCTAACAAATGCTGTAAAGAATTTTTATCTTGTTTCTTTATGTTACTTCCAAATTTGGAATTTGAATAACTAGATTGTCATCTTGTTGTTCATAAACATCTAATGATTTATGTCTAGTAGTGGACATGTTGGTAGACTGCATTACTCCATATCTCTGTTACTTTATCACATGAATATTTTATCAAATGTCGATATACTCTTTTTGGTAGGGGGTGGGGTTTGAGACTGCAGTCCACTCCTAATGGCTGCCAAGGTACTGCTAGGCCTGAGAGACTTGTTTGAAAATGATCAATGTACTTGTAATTGTATTGTTGAAAATGTATTCAATTTCTTAGTCAAAGGCCCATATTTGCTGCTTGTGTATGGTTCAGGCAATTAATACTTAAAAAGAATGGCATTCTGACTAACTTAGAAGGTGCACTCATTCAGGAGTGGCTTCAGCGGCACGGTCCATTTGATGCAGTTATAGATGGTGCAAATGTGGGGCTTATTAATAGGCATAATTTCAACTTTTCCCAGGTAAGAGTGTTGCTGATCACAAGCTTTAACAGTAATATATCTTCCTCAAAGTTAGAATCACACAGATATGGTTCTTAATAATTTCTTTTGGTTGTAGCTTAATTCTGTTGTAAATCAGTTACATCAAATGAGCCCGTCAAAGAGATTACCACTTGTTGTTTTGCATAAAAGTCGTGTTACTGGTGGTCCAGCGCAGAGTCATAACAACAAGAAGCTGTTAGAGAGCTGGAAAAGGTCTGGTGCACTTTATGCTACTCCTGCCGGTTCAAATGATGATTGGTAAGATCTCTTTCCTAACAATATTTCTGTTTTGTATATGTAATGTTGATAGATACGTATAATGATGATATCTATGTTTATTTTTTCACTTTCTGCGAGATGCATCATGCTTGCCTTGTTATCTGTGATACAGTGAACAATTACCATCACGGAACACTATTATTTAGTTTAGGCAGTCATGTTTCCCGACATAATCTTCTAAGATTGTCTTAATTCAGAACCATCTTAGAAAAAATACTTCCTTTCCCTCAATTTCATTGACTCATTGGATGTTCCTTTTAATGTTTTCCTCTTTGGTGGCAAGTTTGGGATGCCAAGAGGCAAGCACTTGTTCTCGCTTTAAAAGATTATCAATCTTCATTTTAAAAATTGTTTTTTTTTTTTTTTTTTTTTTTATATAAAAAAAACAATTTTAGCAAGGTGCTACACTTTGTTTGGATGTTTGTGTTTCATGAGATAACTAAACTAGATCACTACTTGTATGTTAAAATATATTCCTCTGTGAAGAGGATGAGTTGGTTTATCATCTGCCTATCACATGTAAGATAGGAGATTATAAATTGAGGTTCAGTTGCACATTAGTATTTAATTTTAATATTGTTGGCATGCATTTGTTGTCTAGAGCCTTTATATTCTATGACAATTTATCCGAATCTAGGCTGTGAAAATGCTGAGCCCTTGGGATTTTAGAAATCATTTTGGGCTAAGCAAAAAGAGTAGGTTGGAAATCATTGTTTAGTTCAAGGGTCCTCCATAATTAAATTTCCTGAGATGGAGTGGGTCTAGGGCAAGATATCAAGGGCAATCAAAATTATATATCATATATCGTATCAGCACCTGGTTGATTGAAATGAAACTTGTGAAGTTGTTAAGATGAAGCAAAAAGATCTGTGTGGGTAATTTTCTTACCACACTGCCCGCCTAGTAATCAGCTGGAGAGCACTGGCAGAATAGATGGCTTTAGTAAACCTGTAACCTATGAAGCACGGACACGGACACGCATACGGACACGGACACGGACACGGACACGGGACACGGAATTTTTAAAAAAATGGGGACACGGACACGGCTGGGGACACGGCAAATTTTTTTTTATATAAATATTTTTATTTTAATACAAGTTAATTATTTTATTTAATTATTATATTTTTAAATAAACATAATTCTATTAATTATTTTATTTTATTTTTTTTACTTTTTTTTATTTATTAATATATATAAGTATATATTATATCTTATATTTATATATTATATAAGATATAAGATATGCCTTTTTATTAATATTAAATAAATACATACATATATATATTATACCTAATATATTTTTTTACTAATATTAAATAAATAAACATATATATATATATTAAACCTAATAAATATATATATATATATTATATATGAATCAGATCAGAGAGGCTCACCTCGGCGTCACGACCAGAATACGTGGCATCTCGGCTGACACGTCGGCGTCACCTTGCCACGTGTTGGTACTCAGAAAATATATCCCTACAACTGCCCCCTAGGTTCTATTACCTCCGCAATCTGAGGTGATGGAACCTATATCGATATTTCTTTCTGCATAGTGGTTCAAAAACTGTTTGGCCGAGATAATTCATTTTCAAGCCGATGTGTTCTCTTCGACTCAAACGAACTCCCCCCACGCGCATGAGCTATCATGCACCTCTTCTCAACCGTTTCCCTTATGTGTTCTATTTTCATTGGCCCGTGTATGTGACGCGCTTGTAAGCCGTCTTTCATCCGTCTGCGCCATCTGACGCACACGTTCCTCCAGGCGCAATAAATGCCGTGCTTTGCCGCCGCTTCAAGTTTTTTTTTTTGATAAAACTTTTCTTTCCCTTTTCCTTTCTTCCCTTTTTGCATTTTGATTTCTTGCTTTCTCTCTCTCTAAGCTTTCTGAAATCCACCATTGTTCTAACTCCAAGCTCTACAACCGTCTTCATTCCTCCATTTCAGCGAAGCGTTCGCCGTTCTGCTTTGTTTGTAATCGTTGTCCTACCTCGGCGAATTTCATTCCGGCTCCATTTGTTCTGGTAAGATTCCGTTTCTCTTATTCTCAATTTCTTCTATGTGCTTTTGTTTACTTGCTGCCATTTTTGTTTTGTTCAAACCTTGGATTGTTCATCTGGATGTGTCCATTCATGATTTCACTTATCTCTTGAACACTTGCACTGTTTCAACACTTTTCTTGCCACGGTTCTTGACCTTTTACTTCTGTACCTCTTTCGCTTTTGAGAATCATATCTCTGTTCTTGATTCTGAAATGTCATTCTTTGTTTCTTGTTTTCTGTTTTTACTTTCCAGATCTGTTCCTTTGATCTTGTTCTTCATAGTGCTTAGGTTTGGGATTTGTTTGTAGAACCTTTACTTTAGGGAAAACTTTACTTTTGAGAATCATACTCCTTTCTGAGACCTAGCCCTCTGACTTTAGGCCGACGTTATGGGTATGTGGAGACATCAGGTAAATACCCCAACAAAACTCGAATACTTTAGGCAGGAGTTCTCCATCCCAGCCGATGTTCACCTTAGGCTAGCTGGGGATGGTGATTCCATCATTCTCACAGATCATACGATGCCCTTTCCTATTGTAGCCTTTACTGAATGTGGACTCCGGCTTCCACTCAATCCCCTCTTTCGCGAGGTTTTCCACTACTATAGGTTGAACCATATGCAACTTACCATCAACTCTTATCGAGTGATTAATGGTATCATAGCCCTAACTAGGCAGGAAAATGTTAGGATTACCCTTGCCGATGTACAATACTGTTATACCATGTGCCCCCTTAACCTGAAGGAAAGAGGTTACGTCTACTACCTCAAGCCGAGGTCTACTGAATTCAAAATTGTAGCCGACCTCCCGGACTCCAACAAGGGAGCCGGAGATGACTTTGTCATTGTTTCGGGAAATTGGGAATTTGGTCCAGACGAAGATGTTCACCTCTACCCTCTTCCTCGAACAGTTAAAGAGGGCAAGGGTAAGAGTCCAGCATCAATACTTAGTTATTTCTTTTCCAAGTCTTCAAAACTTTGTCTGTTTCTAATGTCTGTTTGTTTGTCCTGCAGATCTTCATCAACCACCAAAAAACTTTCGCCAATCGTACTTCCTAGGAAAAGATTTAAAGAAGCTCCTTCATCTTCCAATCTACAAGCGCAAAGCTCCACTATTACTAAACTTTATTCCGACATTATTCCGACATACAAATCCACATTGCCTGACGTCCCGAAGAAAAAGAAGAAGAGCCTCTCTCCACCTACTGCCACAACTATAACGCTTCTTCATCCCGAACAGATCAAGAGTCCACATCTGACCCAATCAATCAACCATCCACTTCGGCTCCATACTTGATCCCAATACCAGAAAGAAAGCGCCAGCGACGCCTTGTTAAAACTGCCGAAATGGGTCGTGCAAAGCCAATTGCCCAAAATCTCCTTGCCGACCTCCCGACTGATGCTGACGTTGTACCATCCCAACCAATGCCCCCACCGAAGCCAAAAAGAATCAAGAAGGCCCAGCCTAAGGCCAAGGCTGTTGAGGCTGAGGATAGCATGCCTATCTCAAAATTGGCTGAGAGTAAGAAGACTTCTTCTGCTCCTTCAAAAAGGTCTGCCGAGACCCAGCCCTCTGAGTCCACCCAATCAAAGAAGCCGAGGTCTGCCTCAGCTACTACTTCGGGGTCCAAGAAACCCGATGTCCCCTGGGCCCCAAAGTTGACTTTGGAGGATAGGCCAATTATGTCGACTGAGAGTGCCGACGACATTAATGTCGGTGTCGCCCTCAGTACTGCTCTTCTTCGTCAAAGCGATCTGGAGCGAAATGCTGGGTACAGCGAGTATGAGAATTATGCGTTAATGCTCCAGCACTCCGTTCAAGTAAGTGTTTCCTGTTTTGTCTTTTTCTTTCTGTTGCACACTTAGAAGATTTTCTAACACTTCTGTCTTCTTTCAGGCCATCCAACACGCCCATTCGTTTTCAATGCAATCTTTTGAAAATCGGCAAAGAGTGGTCGATATGAAGAGGGAGGTTTCTGCCCTCAAAAAGGAGAACAAAGCTATTCTGACAAAGATGAAGAAGCTGGAAGATCAGGCCATGGCTGCCACTAAGGCCCGACAGATGGCTAAAGAGAAAGCGGAGTCTGCTGAAGCCATAAAAAAAGTTGCCGAGGCCGAGAAAAAGATGCCGAGGTAAAAAAGGCTCAAGCCGAAAAAGAGCTCGAGCAGGCCCTGGCCACTAAAAACGCCGAAATTACTGAAGCCGATGAAAAAGCTTACGCCCAAGGAATGGCCAATGTCACTGAGGAATACAAACTTCAAGTTAAGCAGGCATGCAACAGGGGCTTTTCCCTTGGTTGGATGGCCCTTGCCAAAAAACTCAACATCCCAGATGACTCGCCGTTGCGCAAGTCTGAAGCTATTCCTCTCCCATTTCCTCCTCTTCCACCTCCAAGTCAGGCTGAAGAAGAATTTGAGTCTGAGTCTGAAGCCGAAGATGATGATAAGGATGACGGTGATGCTCTAGTAAGGAAGCCCAAGCACGCCGATGAGATCCAATCTCTTCCTCAAGATGATCAAATCCTAGACCTAACTCATGAAGAGGATGAGGAGGTTATTAAGGAGGCAACTCCTGAACAAGCATCATCCGACGTTCCTCCAGCCGAAAAAAATCTTGATGAAACGCTCACAGAGATTGACGTCGAGATTGAAGCAGAAAAGATTGCCGAAGAGGTTCCACCAGAATCTTCCGAGGTCCCAGCTCCTCCAGCTGTTAATGCTGAAGAATCCTGATTTGAATGTCTTTATTTCCTTGCCTATGTACTCTGATTTGTTTTCTGAACAATGTAAACTTCCTTTTATGGCTGATGTGCCTTCCTTTATATATAACTGCAGTGACGACGGTGTTCCGAATCCCCATCCATAAAGTCCTGGATCAAATTCGAAACCAACCCTATTTCAGACCTCCAGCAAGAGCACCAAGGGAATTCATG